CTCCCCATCACACTGGACTGTTGACCCCAAATACTTAAACTCCTGCACCTTCTTGACCTCAGCCCCCTGTAACCTCACTGTTCCACTTCCCTCCCTCTCGTTCATACACATGTATTCTGTCTTACCACGACTGACTTTCATTCCTCTTCTTTCCAGAGCAGACCTACACCTTTCCAGGTGTTCCTCCACCTGCTCTCTGCTCTCACTACAGATCACAATGTCATCCGCAAACATCATTGTCCACGTAAATTCCTGTCTGACCTTATCTGTTAACCTGTCCATCAGCATAGCAAACAAGAAGGGATTCAAAGCCAATCCTTGATGTAGCCCCACCTCCACCTTGAACTCCTCTGTCTGACCTACAGCACATTTCACTACTGCCGTACTCCTCTCATACATGTCCCGAACTACTCTGACGTACTTCTCTGCCACTCCTGACGACATCCTCATACAGTACCATAGCTCCTCTCTCGGCACTCTGTCGTACACTTTCTCTAAATCCACAAGGACACAATGCAGCTCCTTCTGACCATCTCTATACTTCTCCATTAACATTCTCAGAGCAAAAATTGCATCAGTAGTGCTCTTTCTGGGCATGAAGCCATACTGCTGCTCACAGATATCCACTTCCTTTCTTAGCCTAGCTTCCACTAACATTACCCCTTCAATTTCCAACTTCAAACTGATCACCCTGTCTGACACTCTTTTCACCTCTAAAACATTGGCAGAAATTAACACCATCCTGTTGAATAAAACAACTGCTATGGTTAAACACAGTGAGAGTTAACAGGACAGCCCAGGTCCAGCTGTTTCCTAGCAGTGACGAAGAGGGTTCTCAGCCTTATTGGTCCTTATGGTGCCATTTAATTCGAAAGACAAAATCCAAAGGTGCTGGTGAATGAACCGAGTCACTCTTGTTTGTATTACACAGAAAACAGCGTCATTAAAAACGGAAACCTGGGCAAACGTTTAATTCATGTTGAGTCGTATTTAGTCTTGGTTCAACTGTTAGCTTTAGTAAAATCACTCATGTTTTACAGACCTGTCCTGTGTAGCTTTACTTGGGGTTTCCAGACGATATCCAGCAGTCTGCGCTGACGATCGATCTCTTTCTCGTAATCGATAACAGCTTTTTCAAAGACCTCGAATATTTCGTCAATAGCAACAGTTAGTCGCTCGTTGATAAACCCTCTCAGATACTGAATTGAAGACATCGTTGATTTGTTTCAGCTTAAATATTTATCGGAAATACGACAACTGTTTTCAAATGACTCCTCATCCAAAGTTAAGCATAATGGCATCTTTGTTCCTTACTTCCGCAGGTGTCACACTGTGAAGTTTCCGGCAGTGAAAATAGGCTCGTTCGAGATGAACTGCGCTTCGCTTTGGAAGCGGACGACAGTAGGTAGTGGTGACCACGATCGGGAACAAAAATCCGCATTCAAGCTAGACAGTCAGTCATGTTAGGTTCGTTTCATTTGTAGTATTATATGGAGTTTTCAAACGATATCCAGCAGTTTACACTGATCGTTCTCTTCCTTGTTCACGCCAACGTTTTGTTTTTAAGGGTTTGAATATTTCTTCTTCGGCAGCAGTTAGTCACCCTCACTCTCTCAGTTTAATTGAAAACATTGGCGATTTGTTATAACCGAAAGATTTAGCCGGATGTGGCCTGCGGGCCTTGAGTGTGACACATTTGCTGTACTTCAAATGACCATTGATGGGGCCTAAATTCATCTTGACCCTAACAGTATTCGGGCCCGGCTGAATTGGGTCTAAAATCGGGCCAAATCTGTACAGTGTCTGCTCGGCTTTACAACGAGACTGAATGAGAGACTTAGACGGCCCATCAATGTGGTTTTGGCCATTTCAGTGAAAAACCATTGTTATACCCCAGTTCTTTTACTGGACAGATACGAGTAAATAAGGAGTCTGTCTTTCTTGATTTTAGTGCTGGTTTATTTACTATATATATAGTAAATGAAATGGCCAAAACCACATTGATGGGCCGTCTGTCTCTCATTCAGTCTCGTTACTATATATATAGTAAATAAACCAGCACTAAAATCAAGAAAGACGGACTCCTTATTTACTCAGATCTGTATGTATGCATGCATGTATGTAGGCATGCATAAGAAGGAGTACAGAACACAACCCAGGGCTCCCTCCGTCAGACAAGCCGCTGGAGATGAGACCAGGAATGAAACAAACACCCGGAAACACAGAGCCTAATACATATACCAGTTCCAGGCTAACCCCTTACACAGACAGCTGTACAAACATCAGGAGCTGGAGCCAGTGTGACGTCTCCTTCTCCTATCTAAAGCTCTGCATGCTTGGAGCAGCTGGACATAACAAAATGAAGAATTCCATATGTGTGTGTATATGTTTGTGTGATGTGTAACTAAAACATCCATTCAGACATAATTCTTACACAAGATTAAAACAAGAAAACAATTGGTGTCATGGCTTACTGCTAACCTTGAAACAACTCAGACTTTGAATCTTACTAAACTGCATTACTAATGTCTAATAATCTAATTTATTAATTTCTAACACTATACATCCTGTCACAATATGAATCGCAGTTCCTGAATTCTTATGAGTTTGCTGTGTTTTTGATGTATAAGTTGTTTATGAAACTTAAGAATTGACAGAATAAAAGAAGAAAACGGATCAAAAAGTGGAATAGAGTAGAAGGTGAGAGCCTACAGTGGATGATGTCACTGCGAGTCGTTATCATCCGCTGTAGGTGAGAAGCCATTTATTGCAACACCTGTGGGAAAAGATTTTATATGACATCTGAATTGATTAGACATATTAGAATTCATATAGGTTATATATTGTATGCTTGCAAAATGTGGGGGAGCTTTCAGACTGAATTGACAATCCACATGAGAAGAGCACACACTGTGAAGCCACAACTCAGTGTGTCTCAGTTGGGAAAGAACATAAGATGACCTACAAAAAGTAGCCTGACATTTGTAAAATCCATGTGAGAGGATTCAGTTGTAGTGGTTCATGGGCAATACAATAATTCTTTTTTTTTTTTTTTTTTTTTTTTTTTAATTTTTTTTTTTTTTTT